CTATTTTAAATATTTTATTGATTTTTAAATGTTGTTGTATATTGAAATGCAGCCATGCGATTTAAACTGAAAAGGAATGTAAAGAGTTATATTATCATATATAGTATGGTAAAATGATATCTTAAAAGATGTATCATTTAACTGTAAAATATTTGTTACCACTAAAGAGTGTGCATTTGTATTATACTCAAGAAGGCAATACACTGTTAGTAAAATATTTTTAAAAATATTTTAAGTAAACAAGTATGAATTCACTTATAATTAACAAGGAAAAGGACATTCCTAGAATTCCCAGCATAAACCATCACATTTATTTAGAATTAAAAAAAAAGTAAATTTTGTTATTTATATAAATTGTAGTGTTTTCTGTTGTAATATACATTCAGTTAAAGTTTATTGCATTAATTTAGTGTGATACGTGTTACCATGATGGTGTTTTTTATTTGTGTGAGTAACCCTGTACTTTTTTGTTATTATTGGCCACCAATGATGGAGGCCTTAATCTGATGAACTTTAGTCCTTCCATTATGTTATTAATAGCCTGTTTTACAGCAAAACAGATAGTAACAGCTCAACTATTTTAGAATATTAACATTAAATAATTTATCATATAAAGGTCCACCAAAATGCCATAATGGTTGTATTTTTATAGCAAAGTTTTGGTAGCCACTGTTGCGATTTTTTATTTATTTTTTGTATGGTAAACAAAAATATGTACAAGTGTGTCTGAGATCTGTTTAAGAATGCTGAATGCATACATTATTAATATAGTGATGATAATTGACAGCTGCACATTTAAATCTGTTATTTCCTCTTAAATTCACAGTTAGTGACTGTCATTAAAGTATAAAATGTCTTCTTCCCACACATGAAACTCAAGGAGTATATTAAGGTAGCCATTCTTTAAAGATTACTTCACAAACTGCTAGAAGTGGTAAGGGCAGAAAAGCATGAATGAAAATAAACAGGTTCCACAAAGATGATTGGAAATTTTGCTGATTTTCATTGGTGTAAAAATTTGACAGCTTATGGTACACACACACACACACACACAAATGAATAAATAAAAATAAATATGACTGAATGAATAAAGTGTGAGAACATTATAGTGGTCTTCAAGTAAATATGGACTAGAGAGTTCACAATAATAACGTGTCTATGTACAGTGGCCCCAGAAAAGGTATTTGGAAATTTTAGACAAATAAAATCTATGAATATCTGGGTTAAGTGTGCAATGGTCTCCAAATATTGTTTGGGGCCATCCACAGTAAATTTGATCAAACACAAAATATGAATGCAATCACCCTAATAATCAGAAGCAAAGAATAAAAACATGCTTGGATTTCAATTAGTGTTTGACGGGAATTATGGCAATTCTGGGAATTCTCAAATGGCTTGGGAAATTCTCCATTGTGTTTTTCAGGATGTCCATTGTAATAACACACGCACACTCTCTCTAGAGGCATGAGCTACTGGAACTGTGCGTTAATAATGCTAAATGACAACTCAATCACTGATGATTATTATTTTAGATGGTTTTGGTTTAACGTTTTTAGATATTTTCCTCACTGGGACATTTTTTGTAGCAAAATTAAAATCTGAATCTTTTTATTTGTTTCTTTTTTCTCCCATTAATAGAAACAGTTCCAGGGCCACAATTGCTAGACCTGAGCCCACAACATAGTCATATTTCATTATTTGTAAAGCACGATTTAAAAGATTGCAGTGCATGTCATTTTGACTGTTATTTGGCATGGTTTCATAATGTATCTGCACATACTGTATGTAATTCAATAACATTTTACATTAATAAGATAAATAATGCACCCATGCATAATTTCAGTGTCTTACGTTAGTCATTATTTGTTGGTTAAATACTTGAATTATTGAATACCATTTTAATACATAAGGAGAATGAATTAATTTTATGTGTCTAATATTGGGTTATATACAGTGGGTACGGAAAGTATTCAGACCCCCTTAAATTTTTCACTCTTTGTTATATTGCAGCCATTTGCTAAAATCATTTAAGTTAAATTTTTTTTCCTCATTAATGTACACACAGCACCCCATATTGACAGAAAAACACAGAATTGTTGACATTTTTGCAGATTTATTAAAAAAGAAAAACTGAAATATCACATGGTCCTAAGTATTCAGACCCTTTGCTCAGTATTTAGTAGAAGCACCCTTTTGATCTAATACAGCCATGAGTCTTTTTGGGAAAGATGCAACAAGTTTTTCAGGGGATCCTCTGCCATTCCTCCTTGCAGATCCTCTCCAGTTCTGTCAGGTTGGATGGTAAACGTTGGTGGACAGCCATTTTTAGGTCTCTCCAGAGATGCTCAATTGGGTCAGTGATTTAAGTCAGAGCTCTGGCTGGGCCATTCAAGAACAGTCACAGAGCACTGTATATTTACCTAACCCCAAATCAATTTATTCAGACTTTATTCTGAGAAAAATTTTTAACACAAGTCATGATATATAGTTACATCATTTTCTTCTCACTATTCTTAATATGCTAAATGAAAACACAAACATAGAATTATTATTTACTTCATATCTTTATTGCCATTAGTTAGATTTGTTCTTCATGTTCCAGGTTAAAACATTCAGTATCAAGACAGGCTTATAAATAAATAAAACTTATTAGGTTAAGGTTAACAAATATACTTCACATACTCCTTAGACATAGCAGTAATATCTCTGATCATTTTTCTTAGTCACACTTAAATACAGACATTAAATAAATAGTACATTAATTTGATTTGATACATGAATTATTATAATAATTAACTTTAAAAAAAAAGTTTTAGAGTCAAAGGTATTCATTCATAGAATGGTAATGCACTTTTTACAAAAAAGACAGTTCATGTAGTTTTTTCCATTTGCTCAATTCATTCAGAATGAAGTGTCCCAAAGAGCTTGTCCCAGTGAGTGAAGTATGGAGCATAGTTGGACTTGAACTTCTGATGGTGGACATCATGGTGCGGAGCTCCTCCATACAGACCAAAAGGCACCAGTCTGTGTGTCGCCCATGGCAGGTCATAGCCACAGTGGTCCTCAACTGACAGCCACATGTTCAGCATATGGAAAAGCATCTCTGTCATTGGATGAACCCCCAGTAACATAGGATTCACAGCAGCGAAGAAACCCAACGACAGAGTCTCCCAAGCCCCTGAGTGCTCAGTGGCCAGAGCGAAGGTGGACGTGTATTTGTGATGCACCTTATGGAAAGTGCGGTAGAGCCAAGGTACTTTGTGATGCAGAAGATGCCATACAAAGTACTGGAAGTCAAAGAGAAGCAGGCAGGCAGCAAGGTCCCAAATGACCCGCAGGAGCCCAGGTGCCATCGCTGTGTAGCTGACAGGTCTCCAGTACCAGTGCAGGACACTCAGTGGGAAGATGAACACGGCATGGTTGTAGAGCGAGAGTGCGAGGCAGCTCCACATCATCGTCCAAGACACGCTGGTTTTCTGTTGAATCTTGAATCTCCTTATCAGTGCTACCCTAGGAGATAGGGCATCCAGAACGACAAAAGGCAGGCAGAAGCTTAGGTAGACTGTAATTGAAAAGAGAACTGGGAAATACGGAGACCTTAGCACGGCCTCGTACTGCAGAACGCTGTCCCAGATGTACTGTAGTCCAAACATTGTCATTTCTTTTCAGTTCTGTTTCTGAATGGCAGCACATGTTCATTGTGCCGCTTATAAAGCATACAGCCCCGCCCCTTTCCACTTACATGCGCTTCAACTCCCCCTAAAATGGTTCTTCCTGTTGGAATTTCCAGAATATTTTGCGACAGTGTTCTCAGAGAGTAGCCTATCTTTTGTCATTTTAATCAGATAGGTAACTATATAAATCCATAAATATAAAAATCCTGCAATAGGCTCTTTAGAGAAAGAAAATTGTTTATTAGCCTACAAAAATTCTATAATATAAATGATAATGGAAAGACAGATGTTGAATCACAGTACAGAGATAAAAGCGTGAGGTAAGAGTGAGGTAAGATTCCGAACCTGTAAACGAACTTACCATTAGGAGATGGCACTGTGTTTTTTCTGTTTAGATAGCAGCTCAAGCAGTTAATCTCGCCCAGTCCCACTTGATATTGATATTCCACATTTCGATTTTTTAAACCTGACAAAATGTATATTAATCCGACCAAATATGACAGTTAATATTCAATTTCCGTGTGTCACTTTTAACTTCTGTAAGAGTATCTACAGGAACAGCAATGAGACTGACAGTGGAACAGTTATTCCAGTTTGATCAAGTAAACACCGCCGTCTGCTGTTTTTAAGAGGCAAGTGCTGCTGCGACACTCGAGTTATCAAGATTTGTTATTTGTTTGACACGCTCTATTATATATAAATATATACTTGGAATATACATTTTCTTTCCAACTAATTCAATTGCTAAAAACATCATTAGGCACATATCAAACTTGACAGCACCCTCTCTGACTATAATACGCCTCAAAAATTAGAATGAAAAGTATGATAATACTAACCATTTTCTGCATCACTATTAAAGAGACCTGAATACTAAATTATTATGGGCATAAAATGGTTAGTGAGACAGGGTTGAGTTCACACTGAGGGACAACTTTAAAGTCTGTTTTTATAAAATATCTTGCTTTTTTTTTTAAGAAAAATATTTGTCACAAGAAAGGAACACAAATAAATGCTTACATTATTGCAAAAAATCATAGAAACGATGCACATTTAGTTAATAAATGCCTAACCAGTGAAGTGCCTCAGGGACATGACAAAATGCTTGGTTTAAGATATTATTACATGTTAAAAATGATTAAAATTCAATAATTATTTTTATTATATATATATATATATATATACAGACACACTTTTATTTACATATCTTATATATAAAATATAAAACACACACACACTTTTATTACATATCTTATATATAAAACACACACATGCAGTACTGTGGTTATTTATAAAAATATACTGCAGTCCTACCTTGAAAACTCAGTGGTATGTTATACAAAACACAATTTCTTTTCCGCATGCCTCCAGCAACAAAGACATGGAACCTAAGCTCAGGCAGCTGGAGTGTCTTTTTACATGGGGAGTCGAAAAATCAGACATAAGGGATTTGAACAGCTTACCAGACAGACTCCATGACAGGATCAGATTTTGTCCACAAAAGTATCATGCTACATATTTCAACCTTCTGGCTTTTATTAGCCACCTGGAGGGTAAAACTGAGAGTGCACTGGATTACCTTCAAAAGGCTGAATTGGCATTAAGGGAAGACCAGCGAAAGAAAGCTGAGTTCCTTGTGACGTTCTCCAGTTTTGCATGGGTACACTATCACTTGCAGAGGTTAAATGATGTGGAAGATTACTTGAACACCATGAAAAGTATATGCAAGGACATACCAGGTTCATCAGATTACTCCTGCAGCTTGCCCGTAGTACACGGTGAGAAAGGCTGGAGCTTTCTGAGACTTGGAGGAACGTACTATAAGCAAGCAAAAGAGAGTTTTTCAAAGGCTCTGCATTTGGGTTAAAAAAAATAACCCAGCATTTTTTATAGTGTAGTATTTGAAATTGACAAAAATTCTGGGTGTTATTGATGGTGATTTTGACTTCAGTACAGGTGACATTGTTACACCATTAGATGGTGACAAGACTGTCTTTATGAGGGAGTCAGTAGCAAACTTATTTTTACTTTAAACAATGTCTTGTATGTGTGTGTGTGTGTGTGTTTATATATACACGTCACTATATATATATATAATAAAAAAATTATACAGTTTCATTGTCGTTGTCTCTTAGCTGAAAGTGACAGTAAAACAAAGAAATACATATGCAAAAGAAACATGACAACCAGACTCCAGATGGCTGGCAATGGTTTAGACAGTCTTCATTTAACTACCAAATATTACACTTCATTTGAGGCAGCCTTAAGCTCTCTGTCTTTTGCTCTCTTCCCGTCTCTCTTCAGCCAAGGTTTCAGTTTTCATTCTGAGTTTGATCCTCCTATCTCTAGGAGAGGTCAATAAAGCCTGCACAACCTTCCTCATCAAATAGATTCTGAAACATTTATCGTGCAGACGTCCTAGATAAGGTAAGTGCATGCCTACAATTACAAAGGTTTTTGCAGTTGGTCTACAGTGGTTTTAGCAAAGCTATTTAATATTTAATATATACTTCAAGAGGCAAGAAAATGCATTTCCAATTTTAAAATGACATTTTGAATGAATGTCCTTTTTAAAATATATTTTGGCCAGAATAAATACATTTAAATAAAACAAATATTACATATATTATTAAAATGATTGAAAATATAATCAAGAGTTCAGATGCAAAAGCTTCTAAGTGCCGTTTTAAATTTTCTTCTAAAATGAATATTTTTATCAGGCTCCTATGTGTAGGTTCTGTAATTTCACTTTAATGGCAATAAATAGGATCTTTTCATTGCCATTAAAGTGAAATACCTGGACATAAACATAGCAGCCTGAGAAAAATGCTCATTTTGGAACTAAATTTTAAACGGCACTTAGAGGCTTTTGTATCTGAACTCTTCATATTTAAATATATTTTAAAATCTATATTAGTAATGTATTGGACAGCTTTTGCATGTTTTGAAAAACAATTATATATATATGAGAATGACGTAATTTTTTTTTTCACTTTTACCAGGTATGGATCTGGACAGAACTCTGAGAACAAAACTTCACCAGCTGGAATGCCACTTCACCTGGGCTCTGATGAAAGATGATATAGATCTAAATGATCTTCTCAATAGACTGGAAGAACAGATTAAGTTGGACCTCGTAAAGAAAGAAGGACTTGCCCGAACTTACAGTGCTTTGGCATATGTCCAGTTTCTTCTGGGGTTTCACGAGGAGGCACATAACAACCTCATGACATCTGTGGAGCTACACATGGAATGCCATGGGGATGAATTTCACAAGACACTCATTGTCACTTATGGAAACCTTGCCTGGTTAAACTACCACATGAGGAACTACACAGAATGTGAAAGTTATCTGAAGAAGCTTCAGGAGATAAATGAAACCTTTCCAACTGAGTTTTCGTCTGTTCCAGAGGTGCTTGGTGAGAAGGGATGGACTTTTCTTAAATTCTCACGCAAATATTACGATAGAGCCAAACAATGTTTCAGGAAGGCTTTAGATCTGGAACCTGAGGAAGGTGAATGGAATGCTGGTTATGCCATTGCTCTGTATCGCACCGAATACGAGAGGTTCACTTTGGAGGATTCGCCTACAATAAAGCAACTGAGACGGGCCATTGACACGAATCCAGATGATGACGTTCTCAAAGTCCTCTTAAGCATGCGACTGATTGTTTACAAGAGGTACAGAGAGGCTGAAAGCTTAGTAGAGAAGGCTTTAGAAAGCTCTCCAGATCATCCACATGTCATGCGATATGTTGCAAAATTCTTCAGGAATCAAGGAAGTGTGGACAGGTCAATTGCTCTTTTGAAGCGAGCACTTGAAAGCTCACCCAATTCAAGTTTCATACATCATCAGTTAGCTCTTTGCTATAAGCTGAAGAAAATCCAACTGTTGCAGGAGGGAAGTCACCATGCCAAAGGGTCAAGAGTTCAACAGACTCGCAATCAATGCATCTATCATTTAGAAAAGGCCATCAGCCTGACGGGCTCCTTCATTTCTGCAATGAGCGATCTAGCGCTGCTGTACGGAGAAAACCACGACATGTCACGGGCTGAGGAGCTGTTTCAGGTCACTTTCAAAGCAGCCGAGGAGAAAAACGACAATCTACATGTGGTCAATTTTTATTATGCTGAATTCCAGCTGTACAGCCACAGATGTGAGCAGTTAGCTATCAAACACTACATGGAATGTCTGAAGATGAGCCCAGATTCAGTCGAAGGGAAGAGAAGTGCCAACAGTTTAAAGAAGATCGCTGACAAACGGATTAAGAGAAACTCGCTGGAAGGGGAGGCTTATGGGATACTAGGGTTCCTTCATAAGATAAAAGGGGAGAAACATCAAGCCATTGAGTGCTATGAAAAAGCTCTGAGTTATGAAGACAATGATGAGTTCCTCAGTAACCTTAGTGCACTCAGGCTGTCCTTACAGTAAAGTCATCACATATTATGTGCTTACACTATCAGATGCACATTATGCAATACGCATTTGGGTGTGCTACATGTACTGACACTTTATGGTTATTTATTCTATAACTGTATAATGGAGATTAAGTAAGAAAAAAGTGATCAGAAAATATATAATATCTTTATGTTTATGTTCTAAGATTAATGGCTAAAAATATTTCTAAACTGTCATTACCCAAAAGCCACTTTACACTAAGAGCTTAAAAGTTTGAAATAAAATTCATAATGTATATAATGCTTGTTTGTTTGTCTGTTTTTTTTCAAGCGTTTGTTTGTACAGATCAAAACCTATTCCACAGGTAATGTGGGCTGATAAAAAGGTAAATAGCTTCTTTTCAGATCCCTATGTGAGAATAATGATTGTAAGTAATTTTATGCTATACGTTCCCTCCATGAAAGAAAAATATATCATGTAGCCTACGGGTAAAATAAAACTTTTACCTTTAAACCTATGATCCAGCCACCTCAATCATTAGACAGCAATACAATGCAAATGACAGCCTGACCCAAGGACATTCAATTATGTCCTTAATATTTAACATGTCAGCTGCAGAGTGTAACACGTGTATTTGATTACATTGTGAGGTGTGGAATGAGTGGATCACATTTCATTCTGGCACAAAGTCTGCACTGTATTAAAAGTAAATCCCTCTACATTGTTTTGTTTTTTTTCAATGGAGGCATGCTGCATTTAAACTCATGTTGATTTTTCCTGTTGGCACAATTTCTGCAGGTCCTTAATGAAAAGGCTATGCCATAAGTCTATTGCATTTACCATTGTTCTTTATAACAATGTTAAGTATTTTAGCATCACGATGGCAAGTTTTACAGCTCTTCTTCAAGTACACAAAATGCATATAAAATAAACTGTCCAGTTAATACTTAATTATAGTATGACCATTATAATATGACCAAAAATTGTGTCATCATTTATTCACCCTCAAGTTGTCCCAGTATGAGTTTCTTTCTTCTGTGGAACACAAAATAAGATATTTTGAAGAATGTTGATGTTCCCTATTGACTTACATAGTATTGTGGGGAAAAAATAAAGTCTAAGTGGAACACAACAACATTTTTCAAAATGTCTTATTTTGTGTTCAGCAGAAGAAAGAAATTCATACAGGTACAAACCCAATTCCAAAAAAGTTGGGACACTTTTTTATTTTTTTATTTTTATCTAGGATACTTGTTAAAAAGTAAAAAAAGAAAATTTCGCTGATCAGGATCTCACCAGCATATGACGCTGCAGCTCTCTCCTGATTTCTGTTTTAGAAATGTTATTTCTGTGATAGATAGATAGATAGATAGATAGATAGATAGATAGATAGATAGCTATAGATGTAAAATAATAAAAATAAATGAATATTATTTACTTTTATTTCCTTATGTATGATTGTACTATTTTACATATTTTCTCATTTATGTATAGGCCTATATGTAAAATAATAAAAATAAATGAATATTATTTACTTTTATTTCCTTATGTATGATTGTACTATTTTACATATTTTCTCATTTATGTATAGGCCTATATACATTTATTTTTTTCCACATGTATTTATGTATTTATTTCCACATTTATTTTACATTTATATATTTCCTCATTTATTTGTCCATGTGGTAATGAAGGGGGCATGTTTTACTTCAGATGTTGCAATCGAGTAACAATCAGAGTTGCAGCCTTGAGAAGAAAGAAGCTTTGAAAAGCTTTGCAAAATTAGCAAACATGAATGTAGTACTGGATTTGCAGTTGTTTCAAACCCACTGATCAATATGCTTACATAGACCGAGCTGCTGAAACTGAGTTTCATCATGCGTGTTTTATCCAGAACATAGTATGTGTGTTCATCCTATACAGTATACTATGCAAAACCGTTACCATGATGTTAAATTACTTATACCAAGATATAAGATTTTGGCCATATCGCCCACTTCTAAGCCATTCATTCATAGACTTGCACTACTCAAAGGCCTCATAGCTTGAATGTTGATTTTTTTTTTTGAAAAACTGCATTTATACATAAGGAAATGAACATTACATTTCTTTGTGAATTTATGCATTTATTTATTTAGGCAGGTTTGTCAATCAACACTGGGACTGGTCAGTCCTTGCATGGGAGAATTCTGAGGTCGCTGGTGGATAAGGTGTTAATTGCAGTCAGCAGGGGGCGTGCTCTCTGCACCCAAATTTACTAGTATTGTGGTAGGACATAGCCTACTATAAAAGTCCCTGCAGTTTAAATGATTTTTAAACGGAGGTCCTGACACTCTCTGGTTATCTAAAAACCCAGGGTGTTTCCCTAAACGACTATAGGAGTGTAGTCCTGGTATCCTGGCCAAATTGATTACTCCATGTCTTTGTGGAGTTCAAGAGCTTCACCTGTCACTCTAAAGCACTTTGAA